ACAGCAGCAGGGGGTGGACCTGCCGCCCCGCGCATGCGCCGCCCCGCGGGTGCGGCCCATTCCGGCAATGGTTGCGCGTTTGTCCTAGGATCTACGGCAACCTCGCCGTCACGCGATCCAAGCGGTGCGTGAGATCTAGGAGATACGGTAGCGCCGAGAGGCCGCGTGGGCTGGAGGGGAGGTCACGCTGGAGGCAGCTGGGGTACCGTGCGTGTCCAGTCTAGGCAATACGGTGCGGCGCGCGCAACTCTGAGTGCTGGCCCTGTCAATACGGTAGTGGTGCACCGCCTGCCCGGCAGCGAGAGTGCGGGGCTGCAGGCGGCGCTCCGCTGCAGTTTTCCGGGGCGGGGTGCTGCAGACGTGGGGTGGGCGCCTCCCTCGCCTTCTAACCTGGGGGTTTCTGGTACTGCTGGCCCGGCATGAGCAGCACTGGGAGGAAAGGCGGGTGCTCACCTTGCCAGAGAGACGCCTGCCTTTCCCTTGGCTCCATCGGCTGCCTCCTGCCTTTCGTGGCGGCCAGGACCTTAGGGCCTCCCTTGCCTCCCCCCTCTTCTGGGCCCTGGGCCCCCTCTTCTCCAGTCCACGCCTGGAGCTGCCCCAGGCACACACACTCGCACTGTCTCTGCACATGGCATCCAAGGAGCCTTTCGATTAACCCATTAATGTTGACATGTGTGCTTCTGCTTTAAATAAGGCACTGATTTGCCAGAGCTGCGTGTGTTTAAGTGAGGGTCACCCTAGGCGATGGCAGCCTTTTGAGCAGGCCTTACAGCTAACATTGTGGTGGGAGAAACCTCCCTAAGGTTCGTTGTCTAGCTGTAATTTGATTGACAGACAACGCGGGTAAAGAAAGACAGCTGTTTATTTGCTTGAGCAAAGACCATAAAGCCAGCAAAAGGCAAAATGGCCCCCCCCTAAGGGTGAGGTGATCTTTTATACTTATTACAACAAGGCAAGACTTCATGGTTAACAAAAAAAAGCAATACTTGGGCGGTGCTTTTTAAATCTTTGTAACAGCATATTTCTATTAAGCTGAACTAGCACTTTTTAAAAAGCTAAAAGTTAAGTAACAGTAACATTATAATATGTTAGCAAAACCTTACACAGTAGTAGATACTTCTCAAGGACACAACCAGTGCACCCAGAACAATGGTTTCCCTGTCTTATCTTACTTCTTGCTGTAGCTGATTTTTCAGCACACAGACACAGAGATACTTGCTGCTTTTAACTCAGAAAATGCTTAATACAGTTAAAATGATTACTTGACACAAGCAAAGGCTTAGCTATCAATCTGCCTTATGGTCAGCTGCATTGCTAGGCCACAGGTCATGCCTTGTATTCAGCTGTAAAGCTAATACTTCTTAATAATCTAAATTATTGTTAACCTAACAGTATGCTATCAGAAAACTATTCTATTTCAGGGTAATAACAAACCTGCGCACTACAACATCACATCATGTCTGGAGGAGGTCCAATTTTTTAGCCAGCAAGATGTGGTTGTGATGGCCCTCTCATTTTAGCTCACATCTTCCATGTTGTTGGTTGTGGCCATGTTGGTCTAAGGACACAGGCGGGCAAGGTGCTTCGAGTAGATGTGGTATCTTTTATTAGACCAACTGAGTAGCTGGAAAAAGTTCTTAGCAAGCTTTCAGGCACAAACACTCTTGTTCAGGCATAGATCTCCAACTAGTCCCTTTTTCACAGACAGCTTCTTTTCCACCTTGTATTTTGCCACTTGTCACCATCTGACCTTTGCTTTTCTCCCTCTGCTTTCTTCCCCCTTCCCTCCCCTCCTCAGCTTTACCTTTTGTCTTGCTTATCTCTACCTATTTACATTTTCATTGACATCCTACCACACTTATAGCCTCTCATTCCTTGGAGTCTCAGACCCCCGGAGACTCCCTATGCCTGAGGAAGGATGACTGCACCTAAAAGCTTTCTAAGAACTTTTTCCAACCACTCAGTTGATCTAATACAAGCTATCACATCTACTCAAAGATCCTTGCCTGAATACAGTAAGGCAGAGCTAGAGTTATTGTACAAATGGTGACAGTAGACAGGGCCTGCTGTCTCCTGTCTGTTTTATCTTCCAAGTATGTGAACAGCTCACCAGGTGCAATGTGGTAATACTGAAGCTGGCCACATGTTCTGGTCCTTAAATAGGGTGGTGTAAAGCCATTCTGCATGTGTAACCTAGTAAATACAACAAAGCCACCTGTCCAGCTTATTACAAGTGGTAACTAAAGGGGACAGGGACCATGCTTTCCATCTGTTCGTTGTAGTAACAGAAGAGCATAGTTGCATTTTGGACTCAGTCTAGATGGCAGTGTTCAGCCAGGTTCACAAATTTAACTCAATAAATGAAGGGAAGCTAAAGCAGGGAATCCAAAAGATTCTGAAGAATTGAGACCTTGTTTAACTCATTCTTATTGGGAACACCAAATTTGGTCGCACAATTAAAAGAACATATATGGTACTGAATAACTAAAAAAACCCAAATATTTAAATACAGGAAAGCTAAACTAGAGCTGTCTATTGACACAAAAATTCCCAAGGCCAACAGACTGCTACTTGACTGACCCATTATTTCCAGCAGTACTTATCTAGGACTGAATCTATTTCATACTCTAAATCAGCAATATCCTTTTTTAGCTTAGTAAATAAAGTAACATGCTGCTCAGGTAGTACTCAGGCAGACCTTCATGCTTGTTCATAAACAAAACTGACTTTTTTTAAGTATTAAGGGCAGTTAAGTATGACATCTCCCAGTACCAACCTCTAAAAGCAAGGCAACATGTTGGTTACAGGTCATGTTTTAACCCTTGGCCACAAGAACAAATACCCAGAACTGGCTTGCTTACATGCACGAGGGAGGTATATGGAACACTACATGGCTTAAGTGGAAATATAAGGTCATAATTAAAAAGTTTTGTGTTATGCTCTGAGGGAGATGGGTGTTGTGATTTTTCTTAACTGCTGAAGGCAAAAGAAAGTTTCTTGTGGAAAAAACTGTTTGGAAGCCTGCGGTGTGAACATTGGGGTACACTGAAGAGGTATCCCATAACAGATCACTGGGGTGGATGCATGATACCATGCCAAACATATTTTCATCTGTTGAAAATGCACATTCTATTTAAGTGTTCCCTTTTATTATGCGATTGCTCTTAGAATTTAAGATAAAATTATTCAACTGCTGTGATTTCTTTACCTAGTTTCCAGCATAATATTACACTTTATATTATACCAAATGCACAAACATTTTTAAGTGTCTTTGATTTTTTTCATTGTATATTTTGCTAAACAGAAAAATGCTCTAAAATCAAATTACACAGACAGTACCTTTGTATTGCAGATCTCATGCAAAGTAACATGTCTGTAGACAAAGAAGCAAAAGCACATAGAGACACGGGGTGCACAAAGTATAGACCAAGCCTGTGAAACACAGAGCAGATTAAAAGTAGTGAGGAAGTGATGTTCTAGCTGTGATGGTCTGAGAAATATGCAAGAGGCAAACATTTTTGTAGATAATATCTTATTGGACCAACTGTGTGATTGGAATAGACTTAGAAAAAAAACCTCTGGCCTCAGAGCAGTTTATAAATGTTTTCTTTTCCTCTGTTAAAGTTCACTAGTGTGCACAGTGCTGGCTCCTGTGTTGTTCACTAATTGCTTAGAGACAGAATCTGACAGAAGTCTGCTTGATTCATGTTTGAATTCTAATCAATTCTCACTGCATAAAACAATCTCTACATAACATTGCAATGGGCTCATGCCTATCCTGTTAAAGGTACAATTTCCCATGGTACCAGGCTGCTAGCATAAGAAACATAATCAATACAACAACACAATTGCTCCATGGCCCATGCCAGTTGTCCCATGTACTTTTCAGATGTGCTTATTTCTAGGTTGCTTCTAAGTTGGGCCATGTCTATTGTGTACTCCTCTGTTGAGCCCAGGGAGGAGACAGAGAACCTGAGTGCAAGGTTGGTAGCATACTCAGGGCCTTTGTTAAGTCCAGGGGTCAGCAACCCATGGCCTATGGGCCAGATCCTGCCAGCAGTGAGGTCTGATCCAGCCTGTAAGGTCTGATTCACCATGGGGGACACCCAGACCTTTCACTGTGGAACCTGCTACTCTGCCATGCAGACATGCTTACCCCTCACTGCAGAGGGGATCAGTGACAGGGGTAAGCACAGGCAGTTGGCCACATTGTGGGGCAGAAACTTGCAGCCCAAAGCAGGGATCAGATTGCAAAGGATGCCCTGTTCCAACAGAAGGTAGCTGCCCCCTTCCAAAACTATGGGCTGTGCCCACTTGCTGGGCTTGGGTTTAGGCTTGAGCATAGGAGGAACTGAGTTTGCCTTGCTTCTCAGCTGCTGGCAGTGTTAGTATATGGCCTTCATCTCCCTGGGCCACACCTATGCAGTGTAGGGACATGGCCAGGTGCCCATGGCACTGGAGCAGCAGTAACTTCCAGTTGCCACTGTGATCATGGTTGCAAACTCACAGCTACTAACAGCAACCACTTTTTATTGGTCTTCTGCAAGTTAGTGCCTGGGGCAGTGCAAGGGCTCCCAATTGGTACTGGCAGAATATATAAAATACATGTTGTGTCCTGTGCATAGAACAAGTGACTAATAAAACAAGTAGTTTGAAATTTTACACTGCCACTGATCCCTATGGTATCCATGCACCATACATATAAAATCAATAGCAAGAACAAGAGTAAAGTCCTTAAGAGATTTTATGGAGCTTCTCACTTCTTTTGCTTTTCAGAATATTTGTAATAGTACCTTATTGGTTGTTACAGGTTTTTATTTATGTATTTATGTTTTTTTGGGTAACTGAGGGTACAATATAAATTGAATAAATACATCAACAAATCAGTAATAACATACTAGCAGTCAAAAATGTTGCTTTGTAACTACATTGATAAAATTAGTATTATTTTTTATTAATATTGATATTAATATTTCAAAAAGTAACTCATAAGCATTATAATTGATATTACATATAAGGATACATATAATTAATTAATAAATAATGCCTTCATACTTGTTTCCTCTATAGCATGTAGGTAACAATAAAATCTTTTCCATAGCAGTGGGTGGGGTTTTTTTTGGCCATTTCCATTTTTAATTTTCATTTCCATTTTTGCTTGTTACAGCTCTAAGTTTCATGCTCTCTATTGATCCTTCCAGTACCAAACCAGAACACCACAACGGAATGGACTGTGTGATTACTGATGCACTTGTGAAGTTAGTTGTAAAATACAGTTCTGAAGACCCAGAATTTAAAACCAGACACAAAATAGCAATAGTTCTTCAATAAATACCTTACAGTAGGTCAGCACTGCTAATGGGCATGTAAAAAGTACTGCGCAGTCTGCAGCGCTAACAACTGCTTATTTGGAAGTAAAAAATAATTCTTCTACCTTACTATTTCAGAAGAAAAAAGGCTCCCTAGCAGAAAACAAAACAAGACGTTCCAGAAGGAACATTCATTCTGTAAAACAATGGGAGCTGGGCTAGAACACGCCGTCATAGGACAGCAAGAATTCAGTAACTCTTTGGGTGAGCCACTGT